GTCAGGCTCAAAAGACTAGAGAACAGAGTGAAATGGCGATGTGCCACTGAAGCCATGTTCCACTAGGAACCCAAAGGACAAATAATAATAATATTTTATGAACTCTATATAGTTGAAGTCAGATACTAGGGGACGAAAAAGTGGTTAGCCCAACGTGACCAAACTTTCGGAAGTTTTACTGGTGTATACTAACATTGTTTCCCACTGCATAACTCAACGAGATATACTGATAAGGTTATATATTGAGAATATCTCCAGCTGCGTTGAGATAGGTATTTACGTTTTTTCTACTCTTGACATTGTTGTATTTTAATGTACCAGTACTGATGTCGTTAAACTCTCATAATCAGGATTTTTCGACTGTGGGGTCCACGGGTACCATTGGTTTTCCTATACCTTCTTTTCAGTTTACTGACCTTCAATTTTGGTTCGTCCGTCTAGAAAATTTCTTCATGGCTAATCATATAACTTGACAAAACACAAAGTTTGGATACACAAGCTGTGTTTTACCAGAGGAAATTGATGAACAAGCAAGGGAGACGCTACCAAAGCTCCAGCCAGACACGCCTTGTGACGTTTTGAAGCAAAAGTGATAAAAGCTGCTTTTTTTATCCGACCAGAAAGCTGTTGATCAACTTCCAAGTAGCGTACACCTTGGTGACAGAACACCTTCACAACTTAAACGAAGTCTGTTGAAAGATAGAAACGTAGACAACCGTCCATTCTATCAACTTTGGATAAGGAAACCTCCTTAATGTATTCAGCAGATATTAGGGATGCAGACATTGGGATTGATAGATTGGCCGATATCGCTGAGCGTATGTACGAAAGAATGAGCAGGTGGAAAATATTGCTCAGCCAACAGAGAATGAGTAAGTAGCTGCTCTAAAGAGAAAAATCGACGTAATTATGGGACAAGTGACAGCTTTGGAGCAGTACGGTCACCGAAGTTCTCCAGAAGTAGGTCTAACAGTTGTGATAAAACCACGAGTAGGACCGTGTTGAAACATAGCACATGCATACCACAAGAAATTTGGCAACAAAGCACATCGTTGTCTGCTGCCATGTGACTTTAAAACTCTGTTTTTCGAGAAACGGAAAGACCGGTGGCCAGAGACAAATGCTGTCGCCGGTGCACAGCAACGAAGTTGTTAGTTGTGGGTAACGGAGAAAAAGACCACAGAGTAGTTCCTGGTTAACATCAGAGCAGCAGTGAGCATAATCCCATCCATACCTTCCGAAAAACACCATTCCAACCGGCCTTGGTGTTTCAAGCGGTGAAAGCATCTACAATTACCACGTATGAAACCAGAGTTTTGTCGTAATAGTGAATATTCCAACTCGGGTATCGTTATGGACACAAAAACAAGTCTGGTGGTAGCTCCACTAAGTAACACTTCAACGTATGATACCCTAATGCGAAAATTTTACGAGCTCACATAAACGAATTACGTGAAGTTCTCGCCAAACATACAGTGGGGCATCATATTGTTACAAAAGGTCCTCCAGTCTCATTGAAACCTCGACTATTAGATCCTAAAAGGCTGCAGATACCAAGACGGGAATTCGAAAAGCTTCTGAAGTTGGGAATTATACCCCTTTCTAGGAGCCCATGGTCATCACCACTGCAAATGGTTCCTAAAAAGGCATCAGATGAAATGCGACCTCGTAATTATTATCGAGCGTTAAATAAGCACACGGTCCCTGATGGATATCCAATCTCTCATATACATGATTCTGTGAACTTCATAACAAAAGTAAATATTGATCTCATGCGGGGTTATTACCATTTTTCTATGAAACCCAATGGATGTTCACAAACAGAGATCACTACTCGTTTCAGATTGTTCGAATTTTTTCATATGCCGTTTGGTTTGACAAATGCTCCTCAAACCTCCCAAAGATTTATAGATCAGGTACTTCATAGTTTACCTTTCGTCAGTGCATACATAGGCGACTTACTAGTAGCTAGCCCACCTGCAGCATCTAAGAACTCTTTTTGAACGATTGCATGAATATGGCATAACAATCAATGCGTAGAAACGTGAATTCGGCAAGGAATCACTACAGTTTTTGGGTCACAACGTCGACGGCTCCACAAGAAGTAGATACAATAAAGGAATACACTGTTCCAGACTCGTTTCAAAAGCTACGCAGATTTCTTGGATTAATAAACTTCTATCGACGTTTCATACCTGTGCTGAAATAGTCCAACAGCTGATAGATTTGTTGCAAAGAAAAGCTAAAGCGTTTTACATGACCCAAGCAGCCCTTGATGGTTTTGGCAAACTGAAGCTTGCTCCAAGTTCTGAAACTCTTCTTTCTTGTCATGATTCAGAAGCGCCACTAGCAATGATGATAGATGTTGTCAATGTTGCAGTAGGCTCAGTATTACAACAGTTTGTTCATGGTCAGTGGGTATCATTGACTTTCTCCTCGAAACAACTTATCGCTTCTACATCGCGATACAGTGCATTCGGCTGAGAGTTATTGGCAATTTGCTTAGCTACCAAGCATTCCAGATATATGCTCGAAGGGTACGCTTTTACAGTGTTCACAGACCAAAAGCTTCTCACAAAGTCGATTGATGCAAAGCGCCACAACTATTAGCCGCGAGAAATTCGGCATTTAGAATTTATTTCACAGTTCACTTCAGACGTAAGGTATGCAAAAGGTAATAAAAATGAGGCAGCTGATGATTTGTTTCGTATTCACGTAAACGCCCTGGAATGCAACCATATCGATGTAGTAGAAATGACCAAGTTGCGGGTGACAGATGAGGACCTAATGCAGTTAAAAGGAAATCTAAACACCTCACTAGTGATGATCGGCGACTCTTTATTTATCACCTGTGATGTATCCAACAGCAAACCACGTCGGTCTCTATTAATGAGACGATTAGTTTTCTTTAAGATGCATGGTACTTCTCATTCCGGTATTCGAGCTGAAGTTAAGTTAATTACTGACCGATGCGTCTGGTCAAATATGAGTCAAGATCTTCGATAGTGATCCGAAGCTTGTTTAGCGTGCCAGCGATCAACGGTGCATAGAGATATTTTTTCGTCTCCTGGCAGATTTCCCGCACCAGACAGTAGATTTGACCACATACATGTTGACATCGTTCACCCACTAACCTCCACCAAACGGTTTCAGCTATATTTTAACATGTGTAGATAGATTTACGACATGACCAGTAGCAATACCTCTGCGTGATACATCTGTCGAAACAGTAACGAAAAACATTATTCAACACTGGATTTCTAGCTTTGGTGCCCCAAGTGCCACTACAGGCAGAGGTGCACAATTCGAGAGTTGTCTGCTTCAACAAGTGACCGAACTTTGTGGGATCAAGCGCGTAAGAGCTACTGCGTACCATCCTGCATCCAATGATATTATTGAAAAGTTTCATCAACAACTAAAAGCTGCACAAATCCCAGTTAGGACTGATGACAAATGGAATGGTAAATTATAATTAGTTCTCCTTGGTATATGTCCAAGTATCAACCCCGATATTAGCTACAGTACAGCTGCGTTCGTTTACGGAGCTACCTTACTATTGCTTGGAGAGTATTTTAACTCAGTAAAAAAAATCCCACTGGAATTGACTATGTTCATCAACTACAGCCCCATATGAGTACACTACGACCTCAGTCCCCATAATACCACTACGACTAAGTAGTGTACGTACCACAACGTATGTCGAACAGTACTCACGTTTTTATCCCATAGGATGGTATGCGAAAACCATTGCAACCCCCGTATGAATAACCTTTCAAAGTAGTTATTAAATCAGAAAACGTTATCACGGTTGAACGCTTCGGCAGGTGAGAGATGGTTAGCAATGACTGAATCAAGCTAGCGTTTATGGAACCAGACATCATTGATCTCAAGTCTGAATCCAAAGTAAAGCAACCAGAAACATCGGAAACCATAGTTAGAAATGAAACATTAGCATCGGAATCACCCACAGCTAGTGATGAGAAGACGAGTCCATTGGAAACAACGTTAGTTTCAGACAATTTACTTTCAATAAAACCAATTTACTAGTAGCGATACTACTGTTTTGTTCACTACCTTGCTGATTATACACACAATCACACTTCTACGATTTTGTCAAACTTCTCCAAAACATTTTCGTCTGGCTCTACGGACTTTCGAACCTATTCTTTATTTTCAAACTAGTGGTTCTCAACACCATTACGGGTATTATGATTTTTCTTTACTTCACAATATATTATTGGTATGCTGAACAGTTATTTTGGTATTTCGGTTGTCATATACTCTTCCAATCAGTTTGCACTCAGATAATCAATATTCTAAATCCTCTCACTATACTTGAAACATCTCCGAAATAACTGTGTTTTCATCGGATAACGCATTCTTACACCGAACACATCTGATTTCTAGAGATGGGCTTATGTAGCATATTCTATTTTGTTGATATATTCAACATTCACCTTATAATTTAACATTTCTTGAACTGCACTGAGATAGAACAATATATCCGCTTATGACTCGCTCCGAATCTGTTGGACCATTTTTAAATACAACATCCCAATTTATACATCGCATTATCTCCTGTTGTTTACACTGTCTGACGTAGGTGGATGAAGAGTATCTGGGATAATAAGAAAACCGATAGTATTTTGGGAACCCTATACAGAAGTTGAAGTCAGATACCAGGGCACGAAATACGTTGATTAACCAAACAGCCTACTGCAGCGTACACTGTTCGGACAAAAAGCCTAAGACTTTTTGGCGGGGGGGGGGAGGAGGGTGTTGATATCATGTCTTAGACTGGGCTACTTCCGGCTTATTTTCAACTCAATCTTACTTCGGCTTACACAGTGCTTCGAGGTGGATGTTGGCTTGTTATGCGTAACATACATAAACAGAACAGAGAGAAACGAACTTGGAATGTTATTTTCAATAAAATTGAATGCTTCTATTGCAAAAGGTAATGATAAATAAGCACACAAAAACAAACACAAGACACTAACCATACAAGAATTGCCAGCCAATTTTTGACATCGGAGTACTAATTCCTGCTTAAAACTTTTTGGAAACATGATGTCAGAAGCCAAACCTCTTTGCAATGCTTCGCGTGCAGACAACTTACGACCAGCCAACAACAACTCGTTAGCCTAACAAAATTACAACAATAAACATTAAAGTAACTGATTTTGAATTGTCAAGTATTTTTGCGGTGAAGTTCAAATAGAGGCAAATCGAGAGAAAAACTCATGGGCAGGGAACATCAAACACAGCAAAACTAATGTCACAGAAGAACACAATTTCGCTGAAGTATGTTGTTAAAGTTTTGATTTAATAGTGTAGAACATTTAATCAGTTTCTTAGATGTTCTTACTTGCTCTAACTTACTTCAGCTGGTTTCAAAAACCGTCTCAAACATAATATACACACTGAATCTTATTCAACTAATCCGCGCTTGATTACAGGATTTTTTCGTGCTTCAGTGTCGCTTAGTATACAAGACTTTATGTTCACATAGTTTTCTCCAAACTAAGAAAAGGACTTGATTGAATACATCTTAGCAGTCAAGTTTAAAAAACTTGCAAATAAGTAGTTTTGTGCGCCGGGCAATATAAGCCATGTCTACCTTGTGAAGGATGATTATGCTACGCGGCCGACAAGCCTCTTAGGGTAGAGCGGAATTCGATGATAGTTAAGTGCCTAATCCAATGAGCCACAACACCAAGGGTGGAGAGGTGCCCTGAAAAAACGTCTAAATCCTCGCCAAATAGCCACTACCTTGAAGTGGTGGATCGGTCTACCCATGCCAATGACCCAATGGACTAGGTTGACTGAAATGAATGTTTTATGACTTTCTATCATGCCTGAAACGTTTGTTGAATAGCAATAGGATTACTGCTGACTTCCCAGACACTCAGGCGTTGGCCAAACACTCTAATGTGGCCGACGGTGGAATGATCCTTGTCACCCGCTAGAAATGCTTCCATGCAGCTGCGCGTTAATGTCTACAATAGTTCGGGGAGTGGTCCTGAAAGACAACCATTTACATCAGTTTGGGTTTACAGGTATCGCCTCGGCTCTCGTACAAATAATGAAACAGTACTTACAACGAAGACTTCGAAATGTTTATTAAATCTTCTTAAAAGTAATTGGACTTAATATTTTGCAAAATATATGCTTAACTATTGTATCTGCAATTAACCTTAGTTATTTTAGCATCTGAAATATCCTGTTTTTTCGTTACCTCTTACAAATTTATATGTTCCTTATTCCTTAAAAATCTAACCCACCTGTAACGTCCTGAGTCGCTCAAGCAGTTACTTCCACAAAGTTCTCCTTCAGTGGGGTATCTGACTTAACTATTTTGCGGCCATTAATTTCCGCGTGTTGACGCAGATCGGACAACAGATAGGTTTGGCACCAACTTCAGGAAGCCTCTGTATTTATGCATGTTGTATTTTAGAGATAGGCATACAATATCTCTGTGAAGTGCTTCAATAACTACCTTATCTGTCAGCTCAAAACTAATTGCCACGAGGTGAACCCGAGAACCCTGCTGGACAAGCAACAAACAACTGGTGTTGATTTGACACTAACTACAAGGACCAAAGCTGAACCAGTTGACTAGATCTTCATCAACAGCCACACGGGTAATGTTTAGTTCAAAAAGTCGACTGGAGTAAGAAATAATTAGCAAGAAAAATGCTTTCATTTAGACATATCTGCCTATGCTCCAACTAACTGCAGCCTGAATGTATTTAAGTAAGAGTTCTACCATCAACTAACTGAGACTTTTTTAATGACATCTGTTCGAAAAATATCAATGTGGTAGCAAGGGACTTGAATGCACAAGTTGGAAGTCCAGGTTCAGCGTAGAGTTGTGTAGGCAGCGAATTTGGGTTACTTGGCTGAAAGTCAGTTAGTGGAAATCGTTCTCAGCAGCTTTTTGGATATCACAATCTATTTCAGCCAGCAACAACTTCTAGTACAGTCACTGCCGTTGCACTAACTAGTGATCATAGAGCTGTCTTTGGCTCGTTACTCCGGAAACGGCTGTCTACCCAGGAAGTGAAGGTCTCAAACTTTAACACACTGGCTGGTGCGATTTTAATGGTATATAAAAGACAGGGGTGGCGCACTTCAATCTGAGCCATGTCTGACGCTATCGGACATAGAACCCATCGGTGAAAACAATTCTGCTCTACACCTGTGACAAATAGTCCCTCAAACTGGGAATGTCCAACGACTGCGTTTCAGACTATTGTTCTCTATGAAAAACTGCTCGCATTCGGTAGAAATATCACGCAAGCAATTTTGAGCTGATGTGACGTGTCTGAGTGTGATAGAGGTTGTCACTGATTGAATTTGTTGGTCTTGAAATACCGGCTCCGGTAGATCGGACACATTACGCACGTCATTCCAGCGGCTCCCACATCGCTACCAGTTTGCCTGTCCAGAGACTGAGTGAAGAACAATTGCGTCTAAGTAGCATCTTCAAGTGTCTCATGACTCCCTGTATGAGTTCCGGGAGATCATGAGACAAAAGTTGGCATGGTTTAAAATCGAAATCAACAACGATCATGTTACAGCTTCCTCGTTTCTTCTATTATAGAAACAAAAACCGGAAGTAGAGAGTCCTTCTTCGAATCCAACGTCGGTGCACTATACAATAGTGGAGAGTGAAACAGTTGAGTGCGTTGACCACTTCCCCTCCCTACGAAGTCGGATCAACCCTGGTAGGTCAGTGATCGATGAAATCTCTGGACGGACCCAACGGTATTGATTGGCTTTCAACAACTTATACCATCAATGGTCCCACCGTGATATCTGATCACCTACTAAGTGCCCATTGAAGGTGGAAGAAATGAGGACTGAGATGTTCGACCAGCATTAAGTCAGTTGATGAGGTTGTAAAGCTTCATCGACTCAGGTGACTGACTGACTAACTCATGTGCTATGCATATCTAGTCTCTATCCGCCTCGTCGTGCACTGCCAGCTGAAGTGTGTTCAGACTGGAAAAAGGTTAAGGGCGACTGAACTAGAAACTGGCAGTACTCCATGAAGTCTTTGGCTGTTGATCTGAGCCATGTAGGGAAATGCAGACTGGCCGGTTGGGATACACATGACAACACAAACCGATGGTTGAAGACCTTAGGTGACACGGTGCAGATGTATGCATACATTATCTTGGTCTTCATCGTCATGCTGATCTCATCATTTCCTCATTTGTCCTTTGTCTCTTTTACTGCTTTCTACTCCTCTTGACCAATTCTTCATCTTTCATCTTATTGCTTTGTTACTTGATAAGCTGAAAGGAGGTGTGGCAACTTGGACCGTTATGCGGTATCCCTGGTCCTATGTCGATGATGATCGCTGGAGCTGCCTGTTGAATTATGTCTTTCTGTTTTTGTCTCCGTTTTTCTTTCATTATGCGTTTTCTTGGTATCGTTATATTATTTTTTAAGCCACATCTCTTGATGACCATGTAGCGAGTTTGTGTCCCAATCATAATACTAAGAATAGCAAACGTCTAATTAGCTTCTTTACTAGGCTTACTTTAATGACAATGACAACTGGGAGAAAAAGTCCAAGTAGCTAGAAAGCAGATGTTGTATTCCAAAGCTGCAGAATTTGTCATTATGTTCTGGAAGAGATTTAAGATATCCAACAACTTGTTACACTAAGTTCAGAACCACATCGATCGTTAAAGCAATCGTTATTACTGTCTGATCGTCTAGTTTACAGTGCTAACGGATTTCTATTTGATTTGGTGAATTACATTTAGAAAGTCAACGCCATCAGTGCTTTGGAGTCGAGCTTAGTTACAATATTTTTACATGTATGCTTGCATCGCCTAAGTTTGAATAGCAGATGAAGCACCAATTTCACCAACGTTGTTAGATATGCCTTAATCATGGTTGCATATGCGTGGGTGCTTAAGAATTGCTTGTAATTTTATTTTGATGGTACTGACATCATTTCTTACGCCGGTGAGGCATCTAACTATCTATTAAAGGACAAACAAACAACAGTCTGCTCCATCCCACTCCACGGCTGTGAGAGGTCGTTAATGGTGGAAGATATGAAGACCCCACAGGTGTTGATCATAGGTGACCTTGCAGTAGTGTTTGTATGTACTGGAGTAACTGCGATAGATGTGGGGAAATTCTTAACAGGGAACCTCAACGACTGATACGGCTTGGGGTTTCCACATGTCGAGATACCAACCACCTTCAGTGCGAATCAAAGTGGAGGCATCACTATAACTAAGAGATGAAGAGGACAGATAGACAAAAAAATAAACCTGAAGCCTCTTCTAGCTGAGCATTGGTTCAAGTTGCCAGGCTACACAGTAGCATGCAAAAAACAAGTTGTTGAAAAAGAGACTCTTATCAAAAAAGACGAAAGCGTATGGAGAAAGAAACACTGATAATCAAGGTAAGTGAAAACATTCAAGCTTTCAAATACGTGGACATTTCTGATTTTCAGTTATTTCACAGAAAGCCATCAAACAATGAACAATATGCTTTCGAAATCTAAGGTGTGGGATTTCAAATTTGTTGAGACACTAAACACAAACAGTCACAAAATAATTGGAATGGGAGGGACGGCCATTTAGTGACAAAAGGCACACTCAAGAAGCAAATCACTTAGGAAAAAAGTGTGGTCTACGTATTCTGAGCAGATCATGTTCAAACACCTCACATCAGCACATCCAGGCAGAAGGCACCAAGCAGAAACATACGAAAAGGAGAAGTAGTCGAGTGGCATAGAAAAAGAATGGAACAATAAAGAAATTAGACATGAAGATCACGATGAGAATGAGGGGGGGGGAGGAGGAGAGTGAAAAGCATCCGGAATTCCGAACCTGCAGTCAACCTGCTCAAGAGACTATGCATTTCTCAGTGTCTTCACCTAACCACAACACATCAATTACACATAATACGTTCACTGAAAAGTCTCCTGTGAGAAGATCAATCCCTATAAACCACGACGATGAAACCAAGACCTACATAGACACGTCCATGACAAAACTAAGGACGAATGGCCGAAGTAAACAGCCTTGACAGACACAACTCACCTCATAACTACATATATGCAATACAATCCCAACAAATCAGCCAATCCAAAGCCTTCTACAAAAAGTGATGTATTTAACCCAACAACCTGTTCAGTCAGAGAAGCCAATATAAGACCTCTCGACAAACGCAGTCGAATGACGTCCTCAGGTCGAGAAATACGGTTATTGTCAGCCGTCTGTTAGTGTACCTCGAACCGGTGAAGTGTCGAGATCTGGTCGGTACATCCACCGTCAGCTATGAAAACTCTAACTTCCTCAACTTTTCTTCTCTTGAACTCCACTCAGACGTCTACTGATTATAGACCACAGAATCTCAGACACTATCTTCGTCATGCTGATTCTACTGTAGTTATCAGAGGAGAACGTTCCGCTTATCTTGACGACTGGGACAATCAACGGTTGAGACTAGTCAGAGGCGATCACATCCGATTCCTACACACCAGTTAACACCTGCTAACTTGACTAAAAATCTCCTACCAAAGTCTTTAAACACCTCTCTTACTACTCCATCTGGTCCCACTACTCTTCCTCGCTTCTGTCTTTACTTACAGCTTTCCCGACTTTGTATAACCCAGTGCCCCATTGGATAGCACACAGACGCATTACTAATTACTGACTGCTTCATCTCACTTAGCTGGATCAGTTAAAATAAGTGTCTACTGCTAAACTATCACCATTGTCTTTGGCATCGATTCAGACATCGCTACTCATCACTGCTCGCGGTCGTTGAGTACAATTCTTGTCAGTCTACACTCGGGTTGCTTCCGCTTCCCATTGTGCCCGGAGTCTCGGTTCGCAGCAGTGAGTTCACGTACATCTCTCAATTCACGAGAAACTGCTGAGATCTGCTGACAGATTCACCTTTTTCGCCGCATGAGGTTTACTAATTGACCGCCCCCTGGATATGTATGCTTGTTTCAAAAATACAGCCAATTCATGACGTGACATTCCAGATTTCCTTTCAGCGAAGCTTACCAGTCGATTTTAGGTAGGGTAGGGACATCGGAAGCTTCTATTTGTAATTTAGAGCGCGATTGTACGAGACCATGGATGCTGTTGTGCATTGGTATCGTCATGAAGGGCATCAGAGCAGCTACAAATAAAAGATTACTCTGGAATGTTGACCGAGAAGCGTGAGGTTATGTAAGGTCAGAGAACGACATTGTGGAAGGCTAGCATTGATCTGACGGAACTACAGAGTTGATAGAGTTGTGAGAGTGGTTGACACTCCGCGGTTGTTCACAGCATGAAGACAACAAGTCAGTGGACCGAAGCTTTTTAAGCCTCTTCTCATAGAGAAGGTGGCGCCTGTATGAACTGCTGGTCGTCCGTGGGAAACACCACACTGCTGTTACATCCCCACCCAGCCAGCAGTACAACTTCACCCTCAAAACGCCGTACTAGCACAGCTATTTACACTATAACGGTAGTTTCTTTTTGTCTTGCCAATATCCAACAAACCTTTCTGGTATGACAGGATTTCAAGAACAAATGTTCCTATAAGCGTAGCTCGTTGGGTGGTTGTTATATGCATGCTCGACCAACACGTCAGAGAAGCAGCTATCGGTCAGGATATATTCGCTACACTAAACATGTAATTTACGGAAACATGAAGCCCTAGGATGCTGCATTTAGTCAGAAATTCATAATTAGTGCTGTAATGAAAGAGAAGTTGGAAAAAAAGTAAGTGAAAGAGGTAAACAACTCACGTGATGGCGACTTTATGCTCGCCAAGTAGTCACCCTTATCCGGATGAACATGATCTCGATTCATTTGCATATTGTCTACAATAACTGAAGACTGATTAAAGTAAATCTTTTCATTTATATCTGAATTGCAAGAACAATTTGGGGCAGAACTATCAGAAGCTATTAAACTTTTTGTTGCAGACCTCCGACTATAGCGTTGGTAAGTATTAGTTGTAGGATCGTTCCGTGCAACTTTGGACTGGCAGTGATTCGATGATCTCTCAGAGTGTGGTCGCTTAGACCCGACTAGAACAGAAGACGCAACTTTGGACCGTCGCTCATTAGCTCCACCAGTGTATTTGGCTTTGATTTTAGCTGACAGAGTTGCAGGTTTTAAGTCACCTCGAGCCACAACGAAAGGATTAGAACGATACGATATACCCTTGTCAGATTCTACACGATGCAAATGACCGCGTGACACTAAGATGTCCAAAGAGGATAGAACAACGTCTTCGGAAATATCGTGATGCTTCTGACAAAGAGCCAGGACCACCTCTTGTATTGGCCGTCTCCGTGATTCTCTAAGGTGAACAACAACACTCAGCACCTTTGATATGACAGAATTGGAGATAAGCGATTTTTCTTCACATCTTGGCTGAAATTCAGAATTATCCGGCTCTCTCTTTGGGCTTACAACGGGTACTTGAGCGCGTTTTTTGCAAACAGGTTTAGTAACATCAGGAAGAGGTTTGGCATTTGGCCAGAACACAAAATCCCATTCCGAAATATTTACTTTAGAAAACCAACTTACAAAAAAAGCAACCCAAATGATATTTTGAAAGATATTTCATGCAAAATATATTGAAACGTAGCTTACCAAAGGCATACCAATGAGATTGCTTAGAGTAAAAGTGGATGCTCCTTCTGGAATCTGACCAAGTTTGGTATACGGCATACAAAAAGTGGCTGAATCACTGACGTAAACAATGTCACACAAAGGCAACATAGCAACAGCTAGCCCCATAGCTGGACCATTTACACCAACTACAACTGGCTTAGGAAATGAAATCAAAGTTAACAGAAAGGATCTTAAAGCTGCAACAAGGCGTTCGATATTTGCAGGATTATGAGACGAACAAAAATACGAATGAATGCTATTTACATTCTTTTGAGAGGAAGAATTAAAATCGCAACTTGAATGAGGACATGAGCAATTTGTTTGACTTGGAACAAGTGGCTTAGAACTGTCAGTCCCATTTTTTTGATTATTGCTTGAATTGTGTGAAGTGCATGCATTACTTGAACTTGATGATGAACTATGAGAAGAATTACACGAAGGTGGATCAATAAATGCACTCCTAAGGAGATCACCTGTAATAGTAGTTAAATCGATTCCAGAACTGAACACAGTTCCAGATCCCGAAATCATGATTAGACGGCTTGGGTCACAAGTTACTCGATTCAGAACAATAGTTAATTCTTCGAGAACCTTGAAAATATCAAACAAATAAACACTTCAAAAGTCAACCAAAGAATCCTTTACTACTATAGGCATAAAAAAAAATTAGCATCAGTATTAACTATACAGGGTTGGCGAATTCAATTACTGAAAAAACTGCACAGCATTCGACTTCCGATTAAAGTATACACAACTTGTTATGAAACAACATAAGAAATTATTGACATGAATCTGGCTGCGTTAACCAACGAATATGTCATGCAATTCTCTGCGCACTTATACTAAGAAGAAAGCAATTTGATTGAGGAAATTTACATCAACTGAACAGTGAGAAATATCTGTACCCTCAAAATGCTCTTCAGGAAAACAAATTAAACAGCATTTTGAAGGTAGAAGAAAGCAGTAAAGCGGCCATCACAAACGCAGCAAATAAGGTGAAAAAGATGCGAAGAAACCTAAACTCCAAAGGTATATTTTATAAATATAAGAAACCGAGTTTAACTCAGAAGAGTGGTTGATAATCCCAACAGAGGAAAACTACGGATCACTCAAGAATGCCATACATCACATCAGTAAACAGAAAGAAAATTAACATGAGAAATGGAAACACTGACAACAGTAGTGGTGAAAAGGTCAATCGCCTCCATAATATCGGTCTAGTGTTTCACTAAACGATTCCCTAATGTGTTTCAATCTCATTTCAGTTTTTACTCGAACTCAAGCAACCATGTACGGGGGCTTATGGAGAATTGTCTTGAGAATCGACGACAACTAGTGCTGTTCTCCAGAGATGTCCACTGTCATCGTTCCTACTTAACTTAGTCATAGACCTACTAATGGATACAACCATAGGAATGTCTGACTTTGCAGGGACTGACCTACTACATGGAAGTCATCTGGTTGACTTGGGGTATACAGATGATATTATCCTGCCAGGTAAAGACGCTGAAGAAATACGGGGTATTCTGGACGCATTGAGCAGAAACCTGAGTATGTTCGGTATGCCTTCGCTGGTATCTGTCAAATGTAGGATGGTGCTCCAAGACTAGTCTGCAACCATTCTCAGTTTCAGGATAGGGAATGTGGAGTGTGTCGACCACTTCACTTACTTGGGGAGTTGCAACAGCCCAAGGGGCTAGTTGTTGACGAAATCTCAGCACACATACAGAAGATATGTGTGGCGTTTGCCAACTTGCGTCATCTGTCACACCAACTGGTGAAGTATCTCATTATCTATCAAAGGACGAGAATATTACGCTCCAGTTCGTTATGTCTTCTTATAAACTTGGGAACATGGCCATTGAAAGCAGAAGACATGAAGCGGTTACAGAGTTTTGATCATTTGTGTCTTCGTAACATTGCTTGGGCTTGGTGGAATCACCGTGTGAGTAATGTTGAAGTAAGTCAAAGGATACTAGGCAAGACTGGCAAGTTGATTGATGAGGTTGTGAACCTTAGTCGACTGAGATGGGCTGGACAAGTGTTACGCGTTCTGAGTTACCTCCTACCTCTATGTGCCATACTGGGGAAAGTTGGACTAGGTTAGAAGAGGATTCAGGGTAGCCAGTCTATGAAGTCCGTGACTGTCGGTGTGAGTCGTGTGGGAAGATGTAGACTAAGTGGCTGGGGTCCATGAGACGATTACTCAGAAGTTGAAGACACTTGGTGACACGGCTGAAAGTGGTGCAGATATATACACTTGTTGATGCCTTCTAAAGGCTGAAATTGTCAACAGCCTCTATCTTCAAATTGCTTATTCTCTCATACAACCTTCTCTACTTTGATATCACTCTTATTCGATCCGTCTGAACCTTGTATGATACTGTGAATTAAGGCAAATTGGACCAATGCACTGGTGTGCGAAGTTCTACGTTAATTTTTCCTATTTGTAAAGCTATGTGATTGCTCGAATCTCATGTGTATGGATTGCTGTTTGAACCTATGACCCACGACCTAGGGAGTCAAAGCAGACGACTCCATAAAGATTTTGCGACGTTTTGACTATGAAAAATGGTATTAAATATGCCACAATAATCCAGTTCGGTTGATTAAATGAAAACCTAACCCGTGAATGGGATAACTTGCCACTTCACAAGAAATTAAAACGGCTACTAAGAGTGACAGAAATTGCCTGCACTAAAACTCACAACCTCGCCAAAGTCAGTAGCCGGTCCAGAGCCCGGTGAAAGAGGGAAGATTGGGCATAGGGAAAGAAACCCTACCCGGAAAACCAATCCAATCGCTAAACAATCTTCAGAAGACAAAGAAAACACAACAAATAAAAATCAACCTATTCCTAATACCAACAGCCGGGACGAAACTAAAATGAAGGAGGAAACTACAAAGGGTATATACACGTCAGGCATCAGGACAAAATAGGAGACATCAATCAACATCCGTGAAGAAACATGTGTGAAAGGATATCGGAACTCTTTGAAAGAGACGAGGAAAGAAACCTGAATAACAGTGTTAGGAAGGAAGAAAAAAACAAGATAAGGAATGGATCTCGACGGATACATGGAACCCGATAGGGCAGGGAGAGGAAGATGGTGGAACAGAAGATGAACCAGAGCAGTGCAGTGCAGTGCAGTGTAGCGATGAACAACGAAAACAGCAACTGAATACGACATATAAAACACTGCACTGGACAAAGAAGTGAAGAAGAGGGCGCACAAAGACAAAAGTCACTTCTACGACACACTGGCAATTGAAGCAGAACAGCTTTAAGTACTCACCATCGCCGGACTCATGCGCGACATCATTCGAAGTTTAGTTCCTTATTCGGTGACAAATATCAACCGCATTACCATGACCAATGGGTTGAAAGTACAAGTCAAATAATACCGGGGGCATATTTCATGCAGTACTTACGGACGTTTTGGTGCACTTTAGTCTTAATACGGCCATATCCTCATCCGAAAGGCTTCGGATATGGCAGTCTTTGAGGACGTGTTAGGATGACCGAATCATTGCAGTGTAAGCTAGTGATACAGAAAAATAGTACCGAAGTAGATCACTTGCTTCAAGCGTCAAGAACTCCCACGCAGAATTCATTGACACTGATTGCAACACCCACTGCACGTTCGTCCCCAAATTTCTCCGATATACAATGGTAACTTAGTCTTGTATCGCGTATTTCATTGAGGTTTTGTCTGCACAGTTTCGAAGAAAAGAACCACCAACATACTGGGTGATATGTCAGAAACCCTCGGCCAGGTTCAAACTTGGCACTGTCTAGGAACAAGACTGACCACAAATTTCAGATAGACAACTACGAAGCACGACGGGCCTATCAGACCAGGATACCCTAAATGTGTCTTAAATATGCATTCAAAGGAATATTGACACCCTGTGAATTCTCTGGAAGTGCATTCATGTGATCGAAGATAAGCTTTGACTGCATGGTCGTTGCCCACCGAGAAAACATTGTTTCGTCTTTCATACTGCACATGTGGTTTTTTCCTTTTGAAATCCCGCATAACTGCATGAGCTATCAGGGGTTGAGGGCGGTTAAGCTGGGCAAGGAAGCGTTTGGGGTGGTCATATTTGCAACATCTATTCTTCGCGATGGTGAATTAGGAACCCTGCCTGGTTAACTAGTTCACTAGTTACTAGCCGGTCCTAAGCCCGGATAAAGAGGGAAGGTTGGGCATAGGGATAGACGCCCTACCCCGGAAAATCAATTCAATCTCTGAAGAAACTTCAAAGCACAAAGAAAATATAAAAAATAAAGACAAACTTATTCCTCACTGGAATCGGGGAAGCTAAATGAAGCCGGTTGGCGAAAGCCTTCGGGAAGCCAATTTGCCGATCTGTCTTCTCTTCTCTAGATTGAAGCGAAAGTAAACATGGGGACACGGAATGTCCGCACCATGTATGGACCTAGCAAGGCCGCCCAGATTGCGAGAGGGGTGGGAAGGCATGGCATAAAACTGCTTGGAATCTGCGAAAGTAGATGGAATGGAAGTGAACTCTCTAAACTCTTAGCTGGAAAAGAGTCAATAACCTACTCCGATATTATCACTCATACAACAACCACGAGCAAACTGAGTTTTCGAGTGGCCACCATGATGTCCCCAACAGCATCGAGGCCTCTCATGCAGTCGGAACCAATCTCCTCCACTATCAAGGTCATGATCATGGCGTCAAGATTCAAATGAAAAGGAACGGAAGTCACAATCATACAATCCCACGCCAGGCATCTACAAATAATGCGGATCAAGAGAAGGAGGAGGAATTCCATAGACAGCTGCAACCAGTAATGAACAGGATCCCACCGAAGATGGCAACATCAAAATTCTAATGGGTGGGGTGACATGGGCGCCAAACTGGGAACGGACAACGCAGGAAGAGGGCTCATCTTGGGTCGAGAGACACTCAGAGGAACGAGTGAGAATGGAGAACTGTCCGCAGATTTCTGTGCATTTAATGATTTGGTGATTGGAGACAGCGTGTACAAACATAAGGATATTCACAAAGCGAGCGACATGGATATCACCAGGCACCAGGACCCACTAAAAGTCGAACCGACCTCATCTCAACATGAAGAAAGTGGAGAGGCAGCCTACTGCACACAAGATCAAGAAGGGGCAGATATCGGTGGTTAACACCACTCACTATCTAGTGCACGGAACCTCCAAAATCAATTTGAAAGCCTTCACAGAAGCTGGTGACAGACCACAGTTCAAGTTCAACACCCGGGACGAAAACTGAAATGAAGGAGGAAACTACAAAGGGTATATACACGTCAGGCATCAGGACAAAATAGGAGACATCAATCAACATCCGTGAAGAAACATGTGTGGATGAACACTGGAACTCTTTGAAAGAGACGAGGAAAGAAACCTGAATAACAGTGTTAGGAAGGAAGAAAAAACAAGATAAGGAATGGATCTCGACGGATACATGGAACCCGATAGGGCAGGGAGAGGAAGATGGTGGAACAGAAGATGAACCAGAGCAGTGCAGTGCAGTGCAGTGCAGTGCAGTGCAGTGTAGCGACGAACAACGAAAACAGCAACTGAATACGACATATAAAACACTGCACTGGACAAAGAAGTGAAGAAGAGGGCGCACAAAGACAAAAGTCACTTCTGCGACACACTGGCAATTGAAGCAGAACAGGCTGCAGGTAGGAGAAACAGACACCTGACAACATCGTACCAAACAACCAAGTTACTATCTGGGAAGAGATCAACACAGAAGAAACCAGTGAAAGATAGTGAAGGAAACTAAATTATCACCAAAGGGGAGAAACAAAGGAAACGATGGGCTGACCACTTCCAAAAACTCTTGAATCAACCACTTCCACCACTCCCACCTGCAACTCGTCCAGAAATACCACCTGCAGCCCACTTACAGAACTATCAGTGAACACAGACTCCTCGACAAAGCAGGTCCTGAACGCCATAAAGTTACTGAAAGCAGGGAAAGCAGCAGGACCAGATAGAATTCCACCAGAAGCACTGAAAACAGATGCACAGACAACAGCATGCATGCTCACACCACTATTGCAGAAGGTCTGGAAGGGAGGGAAGGTACCTGCCGATTGATTGGAAGAAGGGCTACCTTACCAGGCTTCCAAAGAAGGGCGACCTAAGTCTTCGCAAGAACTGGCGAGGAATCATGCTCCTGTCCACCCAAAACAAGCAAAACATTAGGCCGCATCATCTTGGAGAGACTAAACTATGCGCTGGATTCAAAAGTACGACCGGAACAGGCTGGTTGGTTTTGAGGAAGATTTGCATTGCGCCGATGGTGATTTATGTCTAAAGTCCTGTCGCACAAACTCGAACGTCTACAGGTCAAACCTAACGAGTTTGGGGAAGAAGCGATGTAGCGAAGACGGAGCTTCTCTCAGGTGAACATAGAGAAAACAGAGGTGATGGAGGCACCCAACCATCACGACCACCACCACCAACAACAACAAGAGCAAGCACCAATCACCATCAACGGAAGAAATCTAAAGGAAGTTGTTTCTTCTATCTACTGCTTAGGCAGTATCGGTTCAACTACAGGTGGCGGAAGAGATGAGATATCAAAGTCAGGATCGGGAAGACAGCAAGCCAGGCCTTCCTGCATTAATCTGAAATCAGTCAGTGTGGAGATCTACTGCACTGCACTCAACATAAAGTGTGAACAAGATCCTAACTCTCAACACTAATGTCAAGTCAGTGCCTCGATGTGATGGTTGAGAGACTTGGTGCGTCATGAAAGGCATTTCCAACGAACCACAGATACATCAACAGCTGCCTACGCTGGCTCGATACTGAAGATCAAATGGCCAGAAAGAATAAGCAACAAGGAAATCACTGTGGCAACGAACCAACCGAAAACCTGTCACCCAACAAATATGAAGAGGAAAGTGGAGATGGATTGGATCAGGCATACACTGAGAAGGCAGTTTAGGGACGTCACGCTCCAGACCAGGCCCTCGATTTGAAGCCGTAATGGGGAACGACGAGTTGGGCGTTTGAGGGCGACATGTTGGAGATGGTGTGAAGAAGAAATGAAAGGTCGTGGGTAGTTGTAGAACCAGGTTAAAAAGACTACAGAAGAGAGTGAAATGGCGGTGTGCCACTGAAGCCCTATGTTCCACTAGGAACCAAGAAGACAAATAATAATAACAATAAATAACATTCAACGATGTAAGTAAATATTTAGCAGAAGGAAAGGAAGAAAGTGCAATGGGACTGTTACTATTGCTGTTATCGTATGCGATTTACTACACCTACTACAGTTAAGTGTTGATTTCAAAAGCAAAAACTTATTACTTGAAAGGATTCAGTAGTCAGGCAAAAAAAAGCGTAAAACTCAAAGCATTATTTCAAAATAAATACGCCTCCAGCTAAATTCAGCAACAGGATTTATCACGACTGATAACAGGAGTGATAATGTTGGTAGTGATTGCAACATTTCTAAGAGGGAATTTAAATCTTGTATAGTGTTTCCGTATCAAGAAGGCATATCGGAAATTTTACGCAGAATTCTTAACAATGCTGGGATTAGGGTGGCATTTAAATCCACAAACTCGTTCAAAGAGAAACTTTGTAGGCTAAAAGATCCAGTACAGCCAATTAGGAAAAATAACTTAATGTATCAAATACAATGGAATGATTGTGAGATCAAGTATATACGTCAAGGCAGTCGATCTGAGTCAGTTAAAAATAGCAAAACACAAAAATTTAGCGAAACATACAATGATAGACCTTACTCAGATATGTGATTTAGAGAAAAACAACTGTCGTTCGGCATGCACTGACCCGTAATCACACTATAAGGTGGGACAGGGTGACCATTCTAAAATTCAATATAGCTAGGTGGAGGGAAAGATTGATCACAGAATCTTCGTTCATTGAATTCACACCTAACACATGTAACAGGAATGACTCGTCTTAAATTGAAGATATCTGGGAAATTTTACTACTATGAAAATAAATGAATGGACTGTTGAACTATATAAAGGAATTTAGAAAATAGTATGATTACTTTGATGTGAATATCAGCAATAAATTCTGCTCCAAACGTCATCCAGTAAACTATACTGTCACCGTATGCTATATCAAATAAGCAGTCTAATACGGAATTATACTCTATCATATTGCCCAAGTTTTTCTCTTACGTTTTTCAATCTATTTCGATAGCAGTCATGATATGAGGTTTTTATATCACAGAGCACTATATAAAGCAACAGGCCTACAGCTATATCTCATAAAAGCATTAGAGTCAAAACTATAACCCCTATATTCGCAAACGTAGGAGGCCGAAAAGGAGGAAATTCAATAGCACCTGATAGTTTCACGGGAAGACAAGTCACTTAATTCAAAAAAGCCCAGGCTATGCAAGATTGAGAGTATACAGTAACAACTATTGTATTTCAATATATGAGTACAAAACCCAGTTATTACAAGAACTGATAGTACTATGTTTTAATAGGATAAAGTGCTAACTGAAACTGCTGGGCATGGGCTATTCTAGTAGCACGGATTTTGTAGGCATTCCCTTAACTTGATATTTACACGCTGCTCATCGGCTTTCGAATATTTATGAAGCTGATTCTTACAAAAATACCAAGAGCCAAAGAATTTACATATAAACCTTAAGTTCAATTTGGAAAAGTTTAATAATTCCCAGTCTTTTAACTAAAAAATAGAAGACTATGGATTAACAACAACGCCAGCAACTAGAGAAGGATAAATATTTTAAGACAATGCTCATGATAGTAAAAAAGACAAAGACAATAAATTACCTGAATGGTAAATGCATTTTTAAAAGAAGAACCGGGTGACTGTAACCAAACTTCTGTAAATCTACCCTGTACATTTTTCTTTACACAAATGATCGAAATCTATGGTTAATCATTTGACGATTGCTGCGTCTCGAATCAGCAATTTGAGGAATTCCAGGATTTTGAAAAGAATATCCAGATAGAGAACTTGCAGTATTACAGAACCCTGACCAGACTAAATTAATAAATCATAATCAGGAAAACAAAACGGTTATTATCCTCAGTGTACAAAAAGCAAGCAAGAGCATGTAAGATATCAACCAACTCACCATACTAGTTAAATTCTCAGATGGTTTAATCATCGAATACGTAACCGTTAACACAACCACACCACAGCCTCACATCCACCAACATATCAAAGGAAATTCCACCGCCATGCGCACGGCCTTGCGAGTGTGGGCATGACGCCAAATCCTAATGCAACAGGGATAATGTCGGACTGGATCTCAGTTGACAGTCTCTTCTGTTCTGATAAACCGAATGGTACAGCTAGAAGTAAAGAGATTGGTACAACTCGCTGTCGTCTCTTTGTAATCTCCGCTTACGCACTGATTGATTGTAACTTATATGAAGTCAAGGATGGGTTTCTACCGAAAACTGTCTATCCTCCTACTGAAAGTCAATAGTTCGGTGATGATTTCACTGTGCAAGTGGGTATTATAGGCTATATGGGAAGGCAGTTGAGTGGCACAGGAAGACTTATCTCACTTATTACAGACTACGATGATCAAAGAAGTAGACCAGTCTGATGGCATTACCTGATCCCCATACCCAAGCAGTAACTCCATCAATCTAATCAGCTATTTCCTACCTCATTCCTTGGAAACGTCCTGCTGCTTTGCATCGTCCCAGGTTCCAAACATCATTCTCAACTTCAAGGAAAGTTGGGGCACCAATATCTACGTCCCATTTTAGTTCAGACTGGATGTCAGCAACTGAAGCGTTGCTGTAAGCCAGTTGACTGTACTTCAAAGTGTAGTATTCTGTCCTACGTTCTAACCACCTGTCCTCAGTCGTTGGTGTCACATCCTTTTCGATGATGGTTTCACTGACCATAGTCTTCTTGTTCCCGGTAAACTTAATAAGCCTAAATAGTTACCGGTGTTACCCAACGCTGGTATCATCTCTAGCTTTCGTCACCTACCACTGCATTTACATCTGAGTCTCTTTGGATCATCGCGAAGAAAACCAGATTGAATCACCCTTCTCGCATCAATCGGTTCGGATGACGTTGCGGAAATCCAATGTGGTTTGCTAACCGTCGGGGATGGGTTATCAACTACCTTTACCACTGTTTTAACAGCAGACTTACTATCACAACATGCTAGGTTTCCCCAGGATAACCATTATGGTCATGTTCAGATAAATGCCAAGTTAACTTCTCTCTAAATGCGTACTTGATGTTCTCATCTTCCTGTGAACAATAAGGTGCAGAAAACACGGGCCCGTACTAGCGCGTGATCATAGCCCAGATTATTCTCCAAGAAGAACGATAATTGTTCACTGATCCAATCCAACGACAGCTTATACCGATGCGATCTATCCGTGTGCATTGTTGATCTCATTTCGGTAGACGGATGTGAGACAGTATCCCTCCTTAAGCTTAAAACCAGTGCTGACCAGAAACAAGTGATTGTTGGGACAAAATTACAACGGACGACCACCGTTGTCAGTTCGTTGGCTTGGGATTTCGTTAATACCCCAAGATGCTTTTCCGATTGGCTCAGCTCAGCTTCTGTGCTTCAGCGTTAAAGTCACCCACCTGCCATTATGATTATGTCCGAACGTTTTGCTTTCTGTAGCAAGACCGTCAGCTTTTCGTAGAATTCATCCTTTGCATCGTCCGAACTACAGTCGGTGGGTGCGTAGACGAAAATTACGAATAGGTATCGTCTAGTTTCACAATCCTTCCTAGCTTTTACAAATCCATTCAGTCGAACAGCTCACAGATGGCCATTGACTGATATCCAGTCGAGAAACTCACTTTCTGTTCTACAGCTCAATGCCATGCCTACGACAGCGAGTCCACGGGAACTTATCCATTGAATCTCTGGATACTCGAAAAGTGACCTATGCAGATTCATCACATCTGACAGACGAGGTCAAGTGAATAACCACACTCAAGTTCTATGTACGTGTTATAGCATACATATACAGCCGGATGAACACAGTTCTACTAGGGATCATTTTGTCCGTTTTGACTAGAGATGGTGATTTGGTGACTTGTGTCGTTAACAGTATTCTCAGAGTGAGAGTGGGATGTATTTGAAGCAATGGTACTGGGTTTGAAGATTCACAACGATGACCAAGTGAGATCAATTTGGCAAAAACACTCATTTTGTATGTGTCTCAGAGACACAGTACACATCAATCATTAGGGGTTCCAGAGTTTTGGCGAGCGATTCTTGCTGTCCCATTTGACAGAGTTAGGACGTTGAAGGCTTTTATAGGAAAACGATAGCGAGGTCTTGGGTGACTAGGAATGGGGTTTTGATAATTCGCAATGGTCGCAGAAGGTTGGGGAAGGTGTAAGTGGCCTAATACTAGTATCAGGAGGTGAAGGCAAAGGAGGAGTCAGGGATGTGGAGGATAGGTTGTTTGATTGGTTCTTGGCTTCTACTGCAAGCATGCCAGTGGTTGACACTTGCCTGCTGCTCACACCGTGGAAGGATATTTTTTTGTAAGGTATCTGAAAGAAAATAAGATTTGCGTCGCCGAAGAGCTCATGGGACATCTACTTGAGGCCGGTCACATACGGCCTTTCGGTAATTTTGAGATACTGGCTTTTTGCTTTTGAATCTGAATATTTATCTCTGTTGCAGACATTGGTGCTATTTTAGGACCGACCTTTTCTCACCTCTCCTTCCCATAGGGTAAGCTGCATCAGCGTGGCACCGCTGGCTATCCAAAGGAAACACCTTACTGTGTCACATTTCACCAGCTAGCAGCAGTACGACTTCGCCCTCAGATCCGCATCATAGTGTAAGCAATATACACTGTGATGGTAACTGCTTTTTGTTAGGTCATTGTGATATACAAGCCCGACTACTACGTCAAGGTAGCAGCTATCGGTCATGTGCAGAGATTCAGGGAGATGAGGAAGTCAGTTGATGAGGCTGTGAATTTTCATCGACTCAGGTGACTGATACATGTGCTATGCATGTCTGGTCCGTCTCATAGCCCACTGTTAGCTGGTGTTCAGACTAGAAAAAGGTTAAAGGTTACCGGACAGAAGTTGGCAGCAGTCAATGAAGTCTTTGACTGTTGGTCTGAAGTGTGTGGAGAAACCTGGATTTCTGGTTGTGGTGATTCGAAACTCTAGGTTGTATAGATCACAGTCGATCTCATTGGCGCAGACGTACACATACATCACACACACACACATACACACACACACACACACACCAATTGAATGTCACTGCCGTCTCATTCCCGCGTGCTATCTTTTCCCACTTTTCTGACACTTGTGACTGCTTTCCTTTTAACTTCTTCATCTTTCATCATATTGCATTGTCACTTGATGTGGTGATATGAGGTGTGGCAACTTGGACCGCTATACAGTACTGCCTAGTCGTATATATATATATATATATATATATATATATATATATATATATATATATATATATATATATAATATATATATAAGATCAAAAGAAATCGGTCAGCAGTTAGGACTACACAAGGTGGAATTTATTGCTCACCAAGTACCAATCGACGTATCTAATTCAGTCGTATAGAAAGTGGATCGCGGCCAGAGTAGTTCAATGGTGCTGACGCTGATGGCATCATTCAGTAACACGGGTTCAATTTCAGAGGGGAAATCAGTTCACTCAAGGAAGTAGATGCGCCTTTCTGATGAGTGCAACCAAGCACAAAACCTACGTCCAGGGCTTCCTGCCAATCGCCTCTAACCAAGTGATATATATTTCTTTTGTGAATTCCTTTGAGGAAAATTTCAAGACACATACTTGGTAGAATTCTACCGGAATCAGAAATCTTTACAATACAACCGTTGTTCCTTCATCCTAATAAGTTTGCCAGAAGGTAAATTGCAATGAAGGGGACATTTTTAATAATTGTAAATATACATTTTCGCAATCTCCATAGTCAAATACGATAAAAACAGATTTCTAAAATGTAAGTCAAAGGAATGCATGTAAGTTAGTATACCTGTTCAGTGCGATGGCAGGGTAAATTATTCATTTGACTTTCAAAAGTGGCTTCATTCAGTGGGCTAGCAGGAGGTACAATAAATATCTTTGTACCTTGCTGAAGTTCATCTGTTTTAAAAAATGAAAAACCTATATGACTCACAAGTCAGCGAAAAATGTTCAACAAAAATTGATAAGAATAGCAAAAGTGTGCAAAAATAGGAATAATTAAGTTGTGAAAGAGTATTTAAGTTCATAAAAAATATTATTTCGGCTTTTTAAGGAAAGAGTAAAACTTGGATACTGTGAAAGTGAATAATTATCTGATGGAATTTGTGACTCTTTTTGCATTGAGGATTGTCTAAAATGTAGACTGCACAACCAGATGGAACCAATGAACAAATTCTAATTATAACACCAGTGAGAAAACAAAACATTCACACCAAATGATTTAATGGACATCAGTATGACCACTGAGAATGCTGTCTGCACAATGCATCTTTTTATTGTTGAAGTTCATTCACACAAACGAGCATTAATTTTTTATCAGATCAAAGTAACTGTGAGAGCCGATACCTGTTTTGAGTGCAATTTGATCAAATCCCTTCAGATATTTCGAAATAATCATAATACTAAACCATTTGGGCAAATTAACGATTTAAGTCATCTTAAAAATAATTTCCGTTAAGAATCCCGCAATTACTGATAGCATATTTTGGTAGTGACTTATCACGTATACAAGATACTAAAATAGGTATGCAAAACAGAACTTAAAACAGGTGTGCAATGCTTTACAGTACCAGACTTAACATCAGTACATCAAGCTATATCAACTGACTGGAGGGAAGGCAAATATGTGTAACTGTAAAAAAAACTATGAGATAAAGACGATACGCGATCAAGAAAGTAGACATAAGCGGTATTACGATTAAGCTGAAGAAAAGGCCTAGATATATCTGAACTATTGAGATACACTTCAACCAACGTATCTGAGAATCTTTAACTATGGATTTTGATTGTCATGTGGTCTTAAATCAAAATAATACATTTTCCAACACATGACAGATGAACACAGACTTCATAAATTTATAGCACATTTTGGTCACTTGATCCCTACCCCTTGGAATAAATAATCCCAATCCAGCTTTAGTGGTGAGGCAATCAGTGTCTATGTGTAATACATGTTCAAACCACCATTGATATAAAAGTCTTAATCCGTTAAATTACATCTTTAGGGAGACAAAAGCTAAAAGTATTACTGTATAAACCATACTCTGCGTATTGTTAGGGTTTTCACAAATTTGTCTGGATAGAACCAATTTCCAAATCCTTATAAGAAAATTAAAAAAGGTGGCTGATTATAAATATTTTACTTTAAAGCGGAGACTACTCCCTTTACATACAGCGCAAAGTAACCTACAGTTTTTAACCACAAAATTATTGAAGAAATCATTCCATGAATTAAAACATTTTGAAGTGCAGATGAACAGTCATGTGCAATCCTTCCAAAATTAAAGTACCACCTAACTATGGCGTAACAGGCCTTGCTACCACACCTCGTATAAGCACACCAAGGCAGAAGTTACCAAATTGAAACATATATGAAATGAACTCACCCACCTTGTATACATTTATGCAGTAGGCAATGAGGCACACTTCTTGTATGAAGGCTAGTGATACAACCTAATTGCCTAAACCTCGCTAGGTAGAGTGGGGCTTGGACCAGTGACCCAATGGTTGATAGTAATCTCTTGAAACCACTGACCCACAGGTTGAAACATAAACAAAAAGGGAAGATAGCCTTATCAACGTCTTTATCTAACCACAACACATCAATTACACATAATACGTTCACTGAAAAGTCTCCTGTGAGAAGATCAATCCCTGTAAACCACGACGATGAAACCAAGACCTACATAGACACGTCCATGACAAAACTAAGGACGAATGGCCGAAGTAAACAGCCTTGACAGACACAACTCACCTCATAACTACATATATGCAATACAATCCCAACAAATCAGCCAATCCAAAGCCTTCTACAAAAAGTGATGTATTTAACCCAACAACCTGTTCAGTCAGAGAAGCCAATATAAGACCTCTCGACAAACGCAGTCGAATGACGTCCTCAGGTCGAGAAATACGGTTATTGTCAGCCGTCTGTTAGTGTACCTCGAACCGGTGAAGTGTCGAGATCTGGTCGGTACATCCACCGTCAGCTATGAAAACTCTAACTTCCTCAACTTTTCTTCTCTTGAACTCCACTCAGACGTCTACTGATTATAGACCACAGAATCTCAGACACTATCTTCGTCATGCTGATTCTACTGTAGTTATCAGAGGAGAACGTTCCGCTTATCTTGACGACTGGGACAATCAACGGTTGAGACTAGTCAGAGGCGATCACATCCGATTCCTACACACCAGTTAACACCTGCTAACTTGACTAAAAATCTCCTACCAAAGTCTTTAAACACCTCTCTTACTACTCCATCTGGTCCCACTACTCTTCCTCGCTTCTGTCTTTACTTACAGCTTTCCCGACTTTGTATAACCCAGTGCCCCATTGGATAGCACACAGACGCATTACTAATTACTGACTGCTTCATCTCACTTAGCTGGATCAGTTAAAATAAGTGTCTACTGCTAAACTATCACCATTGTCTTTGGCATCGATTCAGACATCGCTACTCATCACTGCTCGCGGTCGTTGAGTACAATTCTTGTCAGTCTACACTCGGGTTGCTTCCGCTTCCCATTGTGCCCGGAGTCTCGGTTCGCAGCAGTGAGTTCACGTACATCTCTCAATTCACGAGAAACTGCTGAGATCTGCTGACAGATTCACCTTTTTCGCCGCATGAGGTTTACTAATTGACCGCCCCCTGGATATGTATGCTTGTTTCAAAAATACAGCCAATTCATGACGTGACATTCCAGATTTCCTTTCAGCGAAGCTTACCAGTCGATTTTAGGTAGGGTAGGGACATCGGAAGCTTCTATTTGTAATTTAGAGCGCGATTGTACGAGACCATGGATGCTGTTGTGCATTGGTATCGTCATGAAGGGCATCAGAGCAGCTACAAATAAAAGATTACTCTGGAATGTTGACCGAGAAGCGTGAGGTTATGTAAGGTCAGAGAACGACATTGTGGAAGGCTAGCATTGATCTGACGGAACTACAGAGTTGATAGAGTTGTGAGAGTGGTTGACACTCCGCGGTTGTTCACAGCATGAAGACAACAAGTCAGTGGACCGAAGCTTTTTAAGCCTCTTCTCATAGAGAAGGTGGCGCCTGTATGAACTGCTGGTCGTCCGTGGGAAACACCACACTGCTGTTACATCCCCACCCAGCCAGCAGTACAACTTCACCCTCAAAACGCCGTACTAGCACAGCTATTTACACTATAACGGTAGTTTCTTTTTGTCTTGCCAATATCCAACAAACCTTTCTGGTATGACAGGATTTCAAGAAACAAATGTTCCTATAAGCGTAGCTCGTTGGGTGGTTGTTATATGCATGCTCGACCAACACGTCAGAGAAGCAGCTATCGGTCAGGATATATTCGCTACACTAAACATATAATTTACGGAAACATGAAGCCCTAGGATGCTGCATTTAGTCAGAAATTCATAATTAGTGCTGTAATGAAAGAGAAGTTGGAAAAAAAGTAAGTGAAAGAGGTAAACAACTCACGTGATGGCGACTTTATGCTCGCCAAGTAGTCACCCTTATCCGGATGAACATGATCTCGATTCATTTGCATATTGTCTACAATAACTGAAGACTGATTAAAGTAAATCTTTTCATTTATATCTGAATTGCAAGAACAATTTGGGGCAGAACTATCAGAAGCTATTAAACTTTTTGTTGCAGACCTCCGACTATAGCGTTGGTAAGTATTAGTTGTAGGATCGTTCCGTGCAACTTTGGACTGGCAGTGATTCGATGATCTCTCAGAGTGTGGTCGCTTAGACCCGACTAGAACAGAAGACGCAACTTTGGACCGTCGCTCATTAGCTCCACCAGTGTATTTGGCTTTGATTTTAGCTGACAGAGTTGCAGGTTTTAAGTCACCTCGAGCCACAACGAAAGGATTAGAACGATACGATATACCCTTGTCAGATTCTACACGATGCAAATGACCGCGTGACACTAAGATGTCCAAAGAGGATAGAACAACGTCTTCGGAAATATCGTGATGCTTCTGACAAAGAGCCAGGACCACCTCTTGTATTGGCCGTCTCCGTGATTCTCTAAGGTGAACAACAACACTCAGCACCTTTGATATGACAGAATTGGAGATAAGCGATTTTTCTTCACATCTTGGCTGAAATTCAGAATTATCCGGCTCTCTCTTTGGGCTTACAACGGGTACTTGAGCGCGTTTTTTGCAAACAGGTTTAGTAACATCAGGAAGAGGTTTGGCATTAGGTGAGGAGTATTGAAGAGACGTGGTGCTTTGAAATTCATGAGTAGGAGATGCCTTTAGCATAATTGTAACAGATTTACGTGTGTTTACGAAGGGAGAACCTTCTTGAGCACTAGCTGCGGCAAGGCTATCTACACTTTTGTCCCTCTTCACAATGCTTTGCTGGTTGGTAATTCCTGATTTGTTTTTTTGGAAGAATCATTTTTTGAAGGGGTTTTCTTTTTCTTAAGCTTAGAAGTGTTAGGACTCATGAAACCGTCAATGAGTTAGCTTTTTGTAATGGTGGTGGAGTATTAACAAAATCGTCTCTAGATCGTTTTGGAATAAATACTTTGTCTCTAGCAACCTTCCTACCAATTTTAAATCTGCTTAAACCGGAATTAGATAGTTCAGTACTCGATGAGTCAGAAACTGTACACGGAAGCCAATTCGTATCTGAGTTTACAATATTACTGGAACAGTTGGATGTCAGAGTGTTCGAAGAGGTAGTTGAATCAGAAACTAGTGGTAAGTGGGGAACATCTGGTTCAGAATTCAGAAGAGAGGGTGAGTGACTGGGATCAACTGTTGAGTGTGATAGATAAGAGTTAGGAGAATGCAGATCTATCGAGCTTGGTGCAGATCGTCGTGAGGCTGGTTCTATAGCAATGCTTTCCATAACTTTTTTGAAGGAGCGAGGAGGAGGTTGGCTTTTGGTAGAAGAGATGCTACTTTTATCTGCAGTCAGATCATCGCTGTCCTTTTCAAATTGCATAGATATATCAAGTAACTCATTCGAAGCACGTCCGGGAGGCTTACTATAAGCAACAAAAGGGTGAGAAAAACGCTTTTTCTTTTGGTAGAGCTTGCGATGACGAATGTGGAAGTCGTGAATTAGTGGAAGGCACGGCTCTCGAAGGCTTGTAAAGGGTTCCCAAGAATCTTGATCGGGAGTAAATCCTTTCCACCTAACACGGTATTCAACACGACCCCGTCGAACTCGTCTGCCTACAATATTGTCAACCTGAAAAACAAAGTTGAAAAATGTGCGTTTTATATAAACCAACTTTAACTCCGTAAACAAAGATTCCAGATATATAACCATATAATCTTGTCCAGTGTGAACTGAAAATGCTAATGCCAATCATGAAGCTGTAGGAACTTATGAAGAGGTCATTTGTTTTGACGACAGTTAGGTGCCGCCAGGGATGTCCACTGTCATCGTTCCTACTTAACTTAGTCATAGACCTACTAATAGACACAACCTTAGAAATGTCTGACTTTGCAGGGACTGACCTACTACATGGAAGTCATCTGGTTGACTTGGGGTATACAGATGATATTATCCTGCTAGATGAAGACGCTGAAGAAATACGAGGTATTCTGAACGCATTGAGCAGAAACCTGAGTATGTTCGGTATGCCTTCGCTGGTATCTGTCAAATGTAGGATGGTGCTCCAAGACTAGTCTGCAACCATTCTCAGTTTCAGGATAGGGAATGTGGAGTGTGTCGACCACTTCACTTACTTGGGGAGTTGCAACAGCCCAAGGGGCTAGTTGTTGACGAAATCTCAGCAAACATACAGAAGATATGTGTGGCGTTTGCCAACTTGCTTCATCTCTGGCGCCGATTGGCAAGATGTCCAATCATCTAACCAAAGACGGATATGCTCCATTACAATTCGTTCTGTCCTGTAATACGGCTGTGAGAAATGGATATTCAAAGTAGATATGAAAAGACTAACATTTTCTAACCACAGGGGCCTTCGCATCATTTCTCACTTAAGATGGAAGCACTATATGAATAATATCGAGGTTAGGCGAATGTTACTAGACAAAACGGGTAAGTTCGAGTATAAATTTGTGAGCACTAAAAGATTGAGGTGGCTTTGAAAAGTGCTGCGCATGCCAAGCCGCTGCCTACCACATGGCGTGCTGTCACTACTTGCCAACAAAACGAAACGGTCACACTGTGCACATCCTATACTTTGCAAACACCATCTGCCAGTCTAGGGAAAGTTGAATCTAACTTGCAATAAAACTACGATCCAACTGCTAAGAACAATAGGGAAAATACTGAATGCATGACGTCTTCATGTTTACAGGGCTAATAAGAATTTCTAGTAGCTTATTTGTCTTTTAAAAACGTAATACACACATTTGTAAAATCTTGACAGAAAGACGTTCAGTGATAGGAAAGGATCCAATAAAAGTTAAGACAGTACTGGTTTTGATATCGAAACGAAATGCGCTAAGCAATCACGAGACCGTTCATGCAATAGACAATGAAGCACATTTGTGTTGGAGCTAATGATACTATCAGGCTCGCCAAACTTTGGTAGGTGGAGAGGGTTCGAACCCATGACCCGCCGGTTGGGGGAAGTGACAACCGGAAACAGCTGCACTGACAACTCACTAGCGATGAGTTTTGAGTAACAACACAGGAAGTTAGGAGAGCAACAGTAAAATTCATGAACTTAGTACCGCAGAGTAAAACAATCAAGATAAATCAGATGTCGGAGATAGAAGTTACCTATATATTCTAACACCAGTTAGCGCTGACTTTTCGTTTTTCCTTGTGGTAAAAAGGCCGTCAGATTGATGAAGACTAAGAATACATCTACGGCACTGACGTACCTCAGGCTAGACAAATATCCTCTGAAACCAGCAAAGCAAGTGGTGGCAAGCTGACAAAATACTTAAGCAGATACCAGTGGCAATGCACCACACATATATACAACAAAATAATCTTGCCACAACCAAAATCACTGCCTGGAAAAGTCAGTGTGCTGAAACCCAGTGGAAGGGAATATATTTGCAGATATGGTTATGGCAAGAGCAATCCAACTTGAAAATCTTTACGTGGATGGAAAATCAAAAGAGGAGTTACACTGACATCGAGTCCCGAAAGACAATGTCCGCAATGAGAACATTCACACAATTTCTGGTGATACACAATTTAACAGTTATATAAGGCGAGTAATTACAGATGCCTAACATTGACAAAACGTTCAGCAACATAGTAGCATTAGTACTAAGTTTACGAAGGTTACTAAGACCTTCAAAAAATTAATGAAGTGGTCAAAAGCGGACATATGTTCAAGTGAGTACAATAAAAAACCATCCAAAGTTCAGTTTTTTTTTGACAGTCGAAAGATGAAGTATAATACACTGCCCAGTGGTTGCCAAAACAGTATACAACTTTAAATAAATTCGAAAGAAAACAACTTTGGATAGCTTTAAAACTACGTTTTCATACTGAGTAAACATTAGGTTCCTCATTTACAGTTTGTTTCATTTTATAATGATGCAAGTTAGCACCACCTAAAGTCTGTTCATGTTGGGCGCGCGGTTTTCCAAGCAAATCCACCGCATGCCTATGAACGCAAGCAAGGATGAAGTAATAATGCTTAATAGAATCACTCTTTCAACATTCTAGTTCACAGTCACAATAATGAAAGTCATAAAAAAAGATCTTACTTTCACGCAGGATTTCGTCTTGAAACAGCTATTTTTGAGAGGCTATTCAGTTATGCGCTAGTTTTGTGTTCAATGTATTTAGTTAAAGCAAACTTTCGAAATATCCACTGGGAAGCAATTTAAAGCTGCCTACTTTCCATCGTTGCGTACATGGATAGGCAACGGAATCAACATTTTGATAAGAAATAGGTTGACATTAAAGCAATAGTACTCATTACTTTCACCTACAGCAAACTTCATGTTGCCGAAGTTGCGGACGATGATTCCTCACATTCTACATCCAAGTAACTGGAGGAAGTTCTTAGCTTCGGATGATCAGAGGTTACTCCAGGTTAGAAAAAAACTTAGAGGTACCAAGGAAAATAATTATTTAACTGGTCTCTTTTGGTAGTGCTGTAACCCAGGGTGTTTAGAACGAAGCGTAGCTTCTCGTGTACAGGCTATCTGCATCGAAAGAAATTAAGTGACTCTTAGTGGCTTTCTGAAGGTCATAGGAAAAGGGACTGTAACACTCTTTACTCATGAGATTTAGAAGTTTATAGTTTATGCGAGGAAATTAGCATGGATTCTTCTTCCACGACTATAAGTGGATAAGCTCCACGACAGGCTTCCGACTAAAAAGTAAGGAGGATCTGTTGGGAAGAAGGGAATTATGGACGTTGTGATACACTATGATAGCATTCCTTTGAATTCTACCCTATCACATTACAGCGACTGAGTGTTGGAGGTATAATTTGTGTTGTAGTTCAAACACTTTCCCCATGGTCGTCTTTTGTACTCACCTCAGGATAGCAGCATAGTTCTCTAGTCAGGAAGACAAAGGAAACTATTCGTCAACTAAGTCTGGGTGAATACCTAGTCGATGTACTGTTTTGAATAGGTGGGACATCAATCCTTCCGATGTTCCAGAAAAGAACTTCAGGACTTTTCAGAACTTGTGGGTCACAAAGCGATGATAGACTCTGTCTTTCGCAGCATGTGGATCCCAATTTACCTACTGTCGACTTACACCTTCGTATGTTGAAGGGTGCAGGTTTTCGCCCGTGTATTTCAGGACTGAAAATAGGTCCTCCTAGAGGAAAGGGACTTTCGTTGGCCACTGAGTATAATATCCAGACATTTTAGACCAGCAGCCCCCTAATCGTGAGTACACGATGTAGGTGGCAGCGAGGTCATTTATAAAGGTAACAAAACCTCCAAGTGAAGTAAACTAGGCCATTTATCATCAATGTCCGCGGTAAAATATCAAATCCGTTGTGTTTCGCTTGCTAGTGAGTTCTACTGCTGTCATCTTTTGCTGACTAATCCATACTTCTAACTAACACATCCCGGGCTTCCAAATATATTGCAGTGCCAGTAGACTTAGCTGATGCATTTCAAGCGGTGGTGTCTGGGAAGTCTTGGAGGATATAGTTAATTAGCTACAGGAAGAGTTGTGACGAATGTGTTTTACGATGAACTCGGGTTACTCATTCTCACTGTATCCACTGGAAAGCGAAGAATGGAGTGGCAGTCATTTCAAGCACGCTTTTTTGGTGTGGCACTGACTCTGAAACCATAATCCCTTCTGTTAATGAGGAGATTCTGAGGGTGAAGTTTCGAAGCTTTCCTTCAGTGTTTTCATGTACACTGACCTGAACGAACATGCCTTTCGATGCTACATAATGGTGTATAATCACCCTTGTACGAAGTCACTTATGGCACTTGTTGCTTGGAGCAGACGACGAACAGGGGAAGAGAGGCAGAATCTGAAACTGTTTTTACAACGGTCGCCATCGATACATGAGTTAATCAACATGTCAGAGTGAACTGAATGAAGTCGTTGCAGTAAATGATTTTAGAAATTGGAAGTTGGAAAGTGGTTTTGCATCTACAATGTGCTGTTGATCAGACAGTGGGATACCACCTCAGTTAGTGAACTTCATGAGGGCAAAATGAAAAGTCAAGTGTATCCTATTAGGAGAAAGGTAATTACAGGACGTCGTCAAGAATTTGCTTCACTGATGAACAGACGGAGCAGTACTAGAAATACCCGGAGGCAGCTGAAACGGATTCAGCTTACTCAAACAGAATGGGGTAATGTTTCACTATGATGATTTATGAGGCAGATATCGATTGCTTCAACTGGTCTTCCCTGGCGATTTCGGTCGTCAGCATCCGATAATGTTTTCGCGAACTAGAAAATAATTCAGAAGAGATTTCATACGGATACTGGGCAGTTTTCCAGATATAAGGGTGAATACGAAAAGACACAAAAGTCTCTTACGGATTGTGCACAAGCTGAAATATCAGCCATGCAAGTAACCACACAAGTAGGCGAACATTGTCTGTATGAGTCCTGTGTTCCGTGCCTGGTGTAAAAGTCAATTCCGAAAGACTTGTAGTAATTGTGAGGTTTTCAGACGAAAAATGCAATCGTTGAAGGGTTTTTAAATCAGTTAGCCCCATGTAAATACACTGAGAGGTAATACATGTGGTAGTGTAATTTTTCTGGTTCTGTCGTTAATACAGACTCATCTGTAGATTGTACAGGTATGTGGGTGAATGGCTCAACTACCATTGGATGAACAGAAAGTATCTGTGGTCTACAGCACTCAAATGGCAAGTACTCGCCCCTTGCAAGAGTGCCAGAACGTGTGTAGAAGGTTCTCACAAGCAGGCTAAAAGGTATTCACAAAGACTGGATCCCCCGCATTATAGTTTGCCGGAAGCATACAGCTCGAAAGCACAAATACAGACGACATGCTGAAATTCTGGGCAATGCTAAGTGGAATATATTTCATCGACTTACTCCCTTTTTAATTGTCTTAACCATTCAGATGTCAAGTAATCATCAAGCACACAGCATTGTTTTAGAATGTCTTCAACCTATCGTTAGACGGGTTAACAAGACCACGAGCAAATAGTAGGGCAGACGAAGTTGGCCCCTGAACGTGCAGCAGTGCATCATATAGTGAATACAGGAAGACGTAGCTGAAACAGCAAAGGTTCATACTAGGTGAAAGAACATCCGCCAAAAAACGTACGTTGCCTGAACCCCTGCAACAGCCTGCAGACTGGATGACTACTTAAAAACGACTGGTTGTTGTACAATGATGCCAGTCGGGTCGCCTTTACCAAACGTTTTTCAATACCTTGGTGTTTCAACTGACAAATGATGTCCACTGGCTCGGAAAGGTTCCAACGTAGCTACCCCGTCCACAACAATGGCTTGGTTTACCATTGTTTAGGGTTCTCCCTCGTTTTATCAACATGTGACAGATTTTATGTAATTACACCCTTATAGTTTACACGTGTTTAATAATTTCAAGCCATGGTTATCGTGGCAAAACTCTGCCAGTCATATCCTCTCAGAAACTTCTCAGACCATCAACCTCCTACTCAGAAAGTAGGCTACCCAACTGTCCATGAGATCTTTGTTTTTTTATGCCTCTCAAGCTTCAAATGTACGACAGAATTCTTAGTCCGTCTTTTGTAGTAAGTACCTGAGATGCCAACAGTACTTCTTCAACATCTTTGGTGTTGATGAATATTTATCTAGGTAGCCCTGGTCCTCCTGCTTGGGGTGAAATGAAATCTCGGGGCAAACTTGTTTCCGCGAGGGGTTCGATTGGCTTCAATCATAAGTGCCAATAGGTCCAACAGTAGTACTGATTTATTTCGGATGATGAGGTGTACAAATCCACGTCACAGGTACAGGCAATATCTGAATGCTATTGTTCTCAGTGAGTTAGGATATCACTGTTCACAAATTTTAGGTAAATACCGTTTCAAAACACAAAAGAAGTGAAGATTAGTGCGAAAATCATCACTCGTTATGAGCAGCAACCTGGCAGTAGTGGTTGGTCCTCGACAAGGCATTTCAGACGTTGAGTATGATTGTAGCTGAGAGCACGGCAATATCCGATGAGCTTGAGCTGTTTCACAGATAGCGGATGAAACTAGATTTAAATACTATGATGAACCGGCGGGAAGGCTTGGGGCCGGCATTAATAATACTATATTTCGTACAACACAAGTTGCATGAAAACAAACTAGTTTACAAGCCTGATAATTTTGGTGATGTGAACTGACTGTTATGTCAATATATATATATATATATATATATATATATATATATATATATATATCAAGCAATACGTCAGACACCATTATTCATAGCACGTAGAAAACGGGTTCAGAGAAAGAACGTTAATGCTTCGCAGATAACAGAATAAAATATATAAACATCAAAATAGTTATTCATCAGACCGAAACGAGCTCAGTCCGAAAACAGGAAATATTTAGCCACTTTCTGAGCCGTTCAGTGATCTTCGAGGTCAAGCGGGTAATCCAGCCGTGACTTTGGATTGTGTGCTTCCGTTAGGAAGTTTTGTATGGTGTCACGCAACACGCAATAGTTGTTCAGGTCCATGGTGTTGAAAAAAGTCGTTTAGACAGATCAGACCTGAGGAGTAGGTGAATCCAGCAAGTTGCGATACCACAGCCGATGACACGAAGAGTTTCGTCAAAATTATATTTTAACATCACCAGTCCCTTGCGTTCCAAGTGGGAAGAACGCCTTCAGTAGAAAGTCACGAATACGTTCTGTTCTCTACCGTTTTTTCAGTCTAGCTCCACGACTGCCCACGAGCATTCAGTTCTTCCTCACACGATCCCCTCTATGTCGCCCTCAAACGCCCAACTCGTCGTTCCCCATTACGGCTTCAAATCGAGGGCCTGGTCTGGAGCGTGACGTCCCTAAACTGCCTTCTCAGTGTATGCCTGATCCAATCCATCTCCACTTTCCTCTTCATATTTGTTGGGTGACAGGTTTTC